GAAAATATAATTATAAATCATATTTATTTGACTGTCATAATTTTTTCACAAGGTTTGCACATCTTAAAACAGCATATGGCAAACATTAAACACACACAATTTTATTCTATAATTAAATATAAATATAGCTAGAAACATTAACTTATAGGTCATTGGCATATGTCATCAAAACAAAGCATATAAATCATAAATGTTCATTTCTACTCATTTGTTTTAATACTTTGTGTTTTGTGTGTGTGGTCATGGAACCATGTGTTTATTCTTTGATTACTTACCTAGAACATTCAAGTCTCTGGTAATTAAAGCTATGCTGGACAATCTTGCCTCATTCTGAGTTTCAAACTGTATGAGTGTTGGCATCTGGATTTTTTTTAGCAAGTACAGTTTTATGTATACCAGGAGTACCACCTCTTGCCAGGCATTCTGTTTCAATCTTACTTGAGGTTATTCTTTGAGTAAATGCTGGAGTTAAACTCCTCGATTTTAAATTTGTTTTTATTGAATTTGGGGGTATTTTATACAGAACATCTCAAATATTCTTAATCACCTTTTTACCCCAATCCCCACCAGCATCCTCCCTTAGACCCCCCACTGGAGCCTGTATACCCTGTCATCCCTGTTAAGGCCCACTGTATCAAATCAGTGTCCACAGATATTCCCCAGTGCAAGTCTATCCACTGAGGTCTAGTCTGCCTACATAGAGAAGTTAAATTATTTTTAACAATGATTAATATAGGTTTAGATTCACTTTCCATTGTTATGAGAAAATACTAGGATGAGAAATATGAAAAGAAAAATAATATAGTTGATGTACTCTTTTGCAAGTTTCATTACTTGGTTGCTAAGTTTGTTGCTTTTAAGTTTGTGATGAGACAGGGCATGATGGACATGGGTACATGGCAATTTAAGCATCTCTTTTCATGTAAACAGGCAGAAGAGATATGAGAAAGAGAGGGGGGTGTGGGAGACAGGCTTGAGCCTAGAGTGAAAGTCTTATTGACAGCCATACAGCAGGCCCGAGGCAACGGCCCAACCACTGAAGCCACAAGAAATGCCTTGTGACATATGCTCCCGTTGGAAGATCATGAGACAGACTGATGCCTAGAGCTCACTACTCCCTAATCACCACCCTTGGAATACCAAATTGCAACACTTAGATATTGCAACAGTCAGGGTCATGTGGTTTTCAGGAATCCAGGCTCTGTAATCTGAAACCCAGTATGCTAAAGAGGCATCCTACTGGCTATTCTGTGATCAGACGTTAAATCTATTATGCTAATAGGACGCTAAGTCTTTGTGCTAATAAGGTATCCTACTTACTGTACAGTGATAGGATGCTAAACCTGTTATGCTAATAAGGTATCCTACCTACTGTGCTGTGATTGGACCACTACCCCTACATAAGGATGGGCCTTCTTGCAATAACACAGACCAATGTCACTGAACCTGGTCTCCTGTGTCTGAATGTGGCTCTGCTGACACAATCTCCTCACCAGCCCTGGGGTCCAGGACCTGGCAGAAGCAGCGACAACAGGAGGCAGCACAGGACAAGAGTGGCCTCAGCCCAGGGCGGGCAAAAGAGCCATCTCAATGCCCGTGAGAATGTAGAAGTGGCAACCATGAGAATGGAGGAGCAGCTGCAGCTGGAGGTGACTGCAGCTTGTGCCCAATGTGGGGCATGAAGACTCCTGCCACACAGAGCTGTAACACTCTGAGCTGTAACATTCAGGGCTGTAACACTTTGGGCATCCCATGCCCCCTTTGCCGGTAATTCTCCCATGGGCGCTTGCCTCTTTCCTTCTTCTGTGCTTCCTCTTCTAGCTTGCAGTTTGGCGTGTTGTTCCTGTCTTCACCAATCATCTTCCTGAATGGCTCCTGTGTCCTTCTGGGTACGTCTTGCAGGTTGAGTGACCTCCAGTATGGGGAATAGTCATCCAGCTGTAGCCGGCCCCAGTGCTGCTGCACTGGTTTCTCTCCTCAAGAGTAGGCATATTAGAGTAACAGAAAAGGATATAACTAAGGTATTAGATGAAGTACTAGCTCTTGCACCCTGGATTACAGATTATTGCTCGGATCCCAAGCAATGGGCTCGCACTCTATTCTTGGCCTGGCATAAAAAAGTCAGAGAGGGTCGGCCACAATCTTGGCCATTTTACCCCATTGTGAAAGCCATTTTGGCCTCTCTTCAGGGGATTGCCCCCAAAGCCCCTGAACAAGACAGTTTCCTATTAAAGGAGATAGATGAGCAAATACAACAATAGGATTCTGGGGTGGGCCTGACCGAGGCATTTCCAGTCAAAACCAAACTAACTGATTTCTCTTCTGATGTGGAAACGATGACTTCTGATAATGAGATAAAAATGACGAATTAGGGTCCAAGGGTCCCCCTGATGAAAAACAGGATGTCAAGCTTGCCCCTGCCCTGTCATTGTGGGGCAATGGCTACCTTCACCATTTTGTATTGGCTTTGATGAAAAACGGGATGTTAAGGCAGCCTCTGCTCTGCCATTATGAGGTGATGGCTACTTTCCACCATTTGCACTAGCTCTAAGGAAGTTTCCTCCCAGTCCTTCTACCCCTCCCTTCAAGAGGAGAACTGGAAGCCCCTCCTGCCTAGGCCCCTCTCCTATGATACAGTGGATGATTTTCCACAGTTTTTCCAGGTTACCGTCAATCAAGGGTTACAGAACCCAAATGTCTGGAATCCATATTCTCATGATACTTTGAAAAAGTTGTGTAAGGCAGCCATCGATGATGACATTCATTTCCCTTGGTTTGGTCAGCTATTAGATACAATCAGCCATGTGGCCAACACCCCCTATGACTGGCAGAATATTGCCTGTGCCTGTCTAAAGGGAGGTGATTTTCTCTTATGGAAGGCTGTTTATCAGGACAAATGTGAACAACAGGCAGAGCGCAATAGAAATGCCAGTGTTCAAAACATTGGGTTTGACGCCTTGGTAGCATATGGTAATTTTGAAGTCTCACAAGACCAGACATAGGGACCATTAATATGGGTCCACTCTTCTTTAAGTTAATTACATAAGTTGACTCCTGTAATTGAGGCCTGGGCAATTATGTCCTTTCAACTAATTCAAAACTCCCATCTTCTATATGGCTGTGCCCCAGAGTCACTGGTCCTCCCTCCCCCATGGTGAGATGGAGGGCCCTCTCACTGGCAAATGGAAGGGACCACACCTGTTGTTAACACAAGGGCGAGGCTATGCTTGTGTCTTTCCAGATAATATTCTAGCCCCCATTTAAATCCCAGCTCAAAACACTAGAGTTGCCTGCAATGGAAACCCTCTCTCCAAAACCACTAACACTGGAGATGGCAGTCCTGGAAAAAATGACCACCAAGAGACCAACCCAATGTTGCAGACAACAAAAGCCACCAACCTGGGGAGACCTCAAACATTTCACTCTGCAAACAGAGACATTAGCTGAGATAAGTCTATGCTCCTTATTATTTATGCTATCAGTATTGTTAACTCTCAAGCATGAGCAACTCCTGTTAACCCTCACCAACCCATCAAACTTACCTGGCAGATTTTCAATGTAGCCAATGGAGAGATAGTTAACTCCACGTCAAAATCTACACCTCCTGGCCAATAGTTCCCTGAAGTACAGATGGACACTTCTGTCTGCCTCGATTTGTCCCTTTGCTTTGTTAACCCTTCTCCTGATTTTTGGACCTTGCATTGTTAATTTTGTTAAGGCTAGATCAGTTGTCTGTTATCCGATCTCGACATCGGACCCCCTCAAATTCCCTTACTAAACTATAATTGGCTTTTTAAAGGAAAAAAAAAAAAAGGGAAACGTGGAAGACAGGCTTGAACCTAGGGTGAAAGTCTTATTGACAGCCATACAACAGGCCCGAGGCAACAGCCTGACCACTGGAGCCACAAGAAACATCTTGTGACATTTTCTCCCATTGGCAGATCATGAGATGGATGCCTAGAGCTCTCCACTCCCTAGAGCTCACCACTCCCTAATCACCACCCTTGAAATTCCAAATTCCAACACTTAGATATCCCAACAGTCAGGGTCACATGGTTTCCAGGAATCCAGGCTCTGTAATCTGAAACCCAGTATGCTAATGAGGCATGCTACCTGCTATTCTGTGATAGGATGTTAAGTCTGTTATGATAATAAGGTATCCTACTTGCTATACTGTGATTGGAACACTATCCCTATACAAGCTTGTGCCTTCCTGCAATAAAGCAGACCTGTGTCACTGAACCTGGTCTCCTGTGTCTGAATGCGGCTCTGCTGACACAGTCTCCTCACCAGCCCTAGGGTCTGGGAATGGGCAGAAGCAGTGACGACAGGAGGCAGCACAAGGCTAGCAGAAGCGCTGCCTCAGCACCCAGCAGGCTGAAGAGCATCCTAAGCCCATGGCAGGCAGAAGAGCAGCCTCAGCCCAGGGGAAGTGGAGGAGCAGCCTTGGCACCCATGAGAACGATGGAGTGGCTGCCACTGCGGTGACCTCAGGGGGGCAGGGAGAGAGAGAGAGAGAGAGAGAGAGAGAGAGAGAGAGAGAGGCAAAGACAGAGAAATAGGATAGCATGATGTTATAGCTATTCTCTATTGCTATGACAAACCAGATGACTAAACATGATGAGAACATATTTTATTTGGCTCAGAGTTTACAGTCTGTTATCACAGGAAGTCAGGCAGGAACTCAACACAGGAAACTAGAGGAATGAACTGAATCATAGACTATGAAGTGATGTGCTTACTGGCTTCTTCTGGCTTGCTAACCAACTTCTCTTATAAAATTCAAGCCTACTTCCCTAGGGATGGCATCACCCACCATAAATTTTCCCCTTCTACATCACCAGAAATTAAGAAATTGACCTCTGAGACAGGCTCTTCAGCCAATCTGACAGAGAACAATTCTCAACTGATGTTCCTCTTCCCACCTGTGTAAAGTTGATATCTGAAGTTAAGTAACCAAGACAGACAGACTTCCAATAGATCCTTCAAATCTATGCTCCTAATGAACTAAATTCTTTACTCTAGGACTTACTTTCTTAAAATTAAACCACCAATCAGTAGTTCTTCTAACAGGAATCAAAGTCTAAAAACATGGGTCATTATGAGACACTTGGGCAAACTATATTAGGACTTAGGGCACATGATGCTGTTTCCTAATTTTCATATAATAGTATTAATGATTTTAATGAGTGAATATTTTTTTTAATTATTTGTTATATGGTACGCTTTTACTCACTATGTGTTTGTAAACATTTTATTTAATGATTCAACAACAATATCTAGACCAAAATTTAGTTCATTTGACTTTTATAAGGCCTTTAAAGATTTAATGATGTGCTACTTAATGATATTTGCTAATTTCATATTTCTTAACACTAAGATAATTTAAATAGCACTTGAAATATAAACTCTTTCAAGGTTATATGTATCTCACCTGTGAACCATCTGGTCCTGATAATTATTCATATAAAAATTTCTATTGCTTTCTAATCTTTATTTTAATTAGTGCCTCTTAGTTTTCCATGTCAGTAAGGACAATAGCAGCAACTCATTATTTTCTGGGAAATCATTTATTAACAAGGATGACTATTAGAAAATTTTGTGGCCAAGAACTTACCTCATGGTAACACCAAGTAAATATAAACACATTAATATAAAATCCTTAAGATTTTAATAATTTCATTTATTTTTTTATTTTTATTTATAAGGATCCAAGAAACATAACTCAAGACAGCCTATGCAGTATACAGGGTACAAGCCATAGCCCCTGATACATTGGGAAACCATGGTCATTTCAAAAGCTTTGAGAGTAATGTGGACCAAGGAGGGCTAAAGCACATTAAGAAGTTGGTGTGTTACGGCTGGAGAGATGGCTCAGAAGTTAGGAGCACTGTCTATTCTTGAAGAGGACCTGGTTTGATTCCCAGAAACCACATGGCTATTAACAACAACCTGTAACTCTAGTTCCAGAGGATCCAACAACCTCTTCTGATCTCCTGCTGCATGTTACTACAGGGGTACACTTATGTACATTCAGGGAATACACTCATTCACATAAAATAAAAATAACAAACATTGGTCTGGAGAGATTGCTCAGTGGTTAAGAGCCCTAGATGCTCTTGTAGAGGACCTGAGTTCAGCTATGGTCAACTACTTCGGGTCTAAGAGCCATCCATAATTCCAGTTTCAGGGGCTCCATTGTATTCTTCTGACCTCTGGGGGGAATTGCACAACACGATGCACTTACAAACATGCAGTCAATACACACATCCACATAAAATAATTTTAAAAATAATTAAAATATTTATAATAATTATAAATAAAATATTTTGAAAATAAGTTGAGGTGTAATAAGTCTTACCTTTTTCCAGGCTAAAGCAGAATTGGGATGGAGGAAGGACAGACAGTGGTTAATAGAAAACTGGCTCTGACTTTGGAGGAACAGACAACCTCTGCTAGAGTAGCCAGTGCTCTAAACCAGTAAGCTCTCTCCAGCCCTTTCAGTTTTTCTTTTGAAAGTTTAAAAACATTTTAGATCTACTAGCCCCTTGTAATCTTAAAATATCATATATAATTTCCAATAATAAATATGATGTTCTCAAATATCACAAACAGCAAATTCCTATTTCAATACTTTTTCTACTATTAATTTTGATTTATCTAACAGGGTATTTCATAATTTAAAAAATTTTAAAACACTTTCAAGATGTCATATTTTGAGTATATTTTGTAAAATAAAGTCTTATCTTTAATTTTCAGGAAATTGATACTTTTTCCAAGAATCAATAAATGTTTGATATGACTGATTTTATAAGAATTACATTTTTATTATTTTTTATTATATTTGTGAACTGTTTTAATATTTGTTGCTATAACACTTTATTGTGTTCATTTGTTGAAATAACTTCATATTTTTGTTTTTGGAGCATATGTAATATAGTTTTGCAATATGATTACTTGCATCATATTTTTTCATAATTGATTCTGTTTTCCTGTTGATTCCTTTTAGGATGCACCAATTTTCCTACACAGACACTTGACTCTAGTGCCTTGTCACTTTCACTTTGCTTTTATTGTTCAGTCTTTTATTTTACACACACACACACACCACATATATACACACATATATTTTGAGACAGGGTCTCCCTGTACCGTAGCTGGCCTGGAATGCACTAGGTAGACTGGGTTAGCCTTGAGCTCACAGAGATCTGGCTGCCTCTGGTTACGGAGTGCTGGGATTAAAGCCTTGTGCCACCATACCATCCCTTAGTTTGCTTTTATACAAGACAAACTTGTTAGAAAAAATAAATGTGTTCCCACTGTTCAAAAATTTTGTAAGCTTTTAGACTGCTCAGAGGCAGGTTGTTTCTCAAAGCCTAGTAATTTTCTCTTACAATAATTCAGGTTCTTGTTTTAAAAATGAGAAACTAGATTGCAAACTAATAAATTGTATTATATTACAGGTAATCTAAGATTATCAGAATCCTTGTTTTTTAACTGTTACTTCTGAATTGGAGATTTCTTTCTCTACCTTTTTTTTGCCTGATTAGCTCTCAAAAATCTCACTGATTCCTTTCAATTACAGAATAAAAACTGTTTGCAGTTGAATTTCCCTAAGTGTTTGAATAAATACTTCTTCTTCATTTAAAAAAATCTTATTTTGAAAAATATTGCTCATTTTTTTCCTAATGATTCTTTGAAAATATATTTTATAACATTCTATCAAACTTTGCATCTCATTGTTTTTAGAACATTTAGTGTGGAAGACAGACTTGAGCCTAGGGTGAAAGTCTTATTGACAGCCATACAGCAGGCCTGAGGCAATAGCCCAACTGCTGGAGCCACAAGGAATGCCTTGTGTACCTCACCTTTAAACTACTTACTGTACTGTGCACCACCCTTGGATACCCCACCTTTAAACTACTTGCTGTGCTGTGATTGGACCACTACCCCTATATAAGCTTGTGCCTTCCTGCAATAAACCAGATCTGCGTGACTAAACCTGGTCTCCTGTGTCCGAATGCGGCTCTGCTGACACAGTCTCCTCACCAGCCCTGGGGTCCAGACTGGACGACTGATCAGGGGAACTAAGAGAGCAGGAGAGTGGCCATAGCCGGAGGAAATCAGCCACCTGATGATCACAATTGGCACCCAACGTGGGGCACAAAGCCTCCTGCCCCATGGAGCTGTAGCGTGTCATTCCTGTCTTCACTGATCATCTTCCTGAACTGTTCCTGAGTCCCTTTGGGTACGTCTTGCAGTGACCTCTGCTATGGGGAATAGTCATCCAGCTGCTGCCAGCCCCTGCGCTGCTGCACTGTTTTCTCTCCTCAGGAGTAGGCAAATTAGGGTAACAGAAAAGGATGTAACTAAGGTTTTAGATGAAGTACTAGCTCTTTCCCCGTGATTGACAGATACTTATTGCTGGGATCCTGAACAATGGGCTTGCATTTTATTCTTGGCCCGGTGTAGAGAAGTCAAGGAGGGACACCCACATTCTGGGCTGTTTTACCCTGTTGTGACAGCCATTCTGGCCTCCCTTTAGGAGGTTTCCCCCGAAGCCCCTAAACAGGACAATCCCCTATTTAAGGAGATAGATGAGCAAATACAACAACAGGACGCTGGGGATGGCCTGTTCCAGGCATTTCCAGTTAAAACAAAACTAATGGATTCTTGTTCTGATAAAACTATGACTGTTAATGATGCTATAAAAAATAAGGAATTGGGGTTTGAGAGCTCCCTTGATGGAAAAAAGGAAGTTAGGGTAGCCTCTGCTCTGCCATTACAGGGCAATGGTTACTTTCCACCATCTTGCACTAGCTTGAAGGAAGTTCCCCTCCAGTCCACTTACCCCTCCCTTCTGGAGGAGGACTAGAAGTCCCTCCCACCTAGGCCCCTCTACTGTGATACAATGAGAGATTTTCTACAGTTCTTCCCAATTACTGTCAATCAAGGACAACAGAACCCTAATGTCTGGAATCCATATTCTCATGATACCTTACAGAAGCTGCGTAAGGCAAGAATTGAAGATGGCATTCACTCTCCCTGGTTGGTCAGTTATTAGATACAGCTAGTCAATCAGCCAATACCCCCTATGATTGGCAGAATATCACCCATGCCTGCTTACAGGGAGGCAATTTCCTTTTATGGAAAGCTGCTTACCAAGATGAATGTGAACAACAGGCAGAGTTCAGTAGAAATGCCAATGTCCAAAACACTGGAATTGATTCTCTACTAGGATGTGGCAATTTTGAGACCCCCCCCCAAGCTCAGGCACAGGGACCTCCCTGCTACTTTGAACAAGTACGGCTTTGTGCACTGTGTGCTTTTTGAAGTATGCTGACTCGCTGTGGTACCAAACTAACCAAATTGATACAAAAACCAGGCGAGTCTTTCTCTAATTTTGTTGAGAGATGCCAACAAAGTATAAATAGAAAGATCGGTCATCAGGGAGCTGCCGATGCCTTGCTCAAGGATCTTGTATATGAAGGCTGCTCTACAGAGTGTCATCTTGCCATAGGACCCATTAGACACAAGGATGTCTCTGATTGGATTCTGGCCCAGTGAGATGTGGGGACTGCTCAGACCCATGCTGCGGCCCTTGCTGAGGCACTTGCTGCTCATCAGTCTCAGGCCGAGATAGAAAAAGGCAAATGTTGGGCCTGCAGGGGACAGGGCCATTGGTCACCTACCTGTCCTAATAAGATTATGAAAGAGGCCGAAAGGAGCCAGGTTCCCTCTTCAAAATGCCCAAGATGCTGCAAAGGCTTTCATTGGGCAAGAGAATGTAGGTCTAAGGCGGATGCAGATGTTAAACCCATACAAAAGGTGCCTTTAAATGGGCAACGGGGCGCCTCTCAAGAAGAGGAAGTAAGGAAATACACCCCCCACATCCAATGGACGATGCCTATAGATTTGCATAAGCCTAGGATGCAACTCTCCCTAGATGGCCATAAGTTTAAAGTCCTAATTGATACAGGGGCTGATATTACTGTAATCAGACAGGAAGAAGCCTTGTCTCATTGGCACCATAAGCCTGGACCCCCTATACAAGGTGTTGGGGGCTTACAAAATACTTTACAGGTCCAACGTCCCATGGTCTGGACTGACCCAGATGGCAATACGGGAGCTATTAAACGGCTCCTAGCTGCAGGGCTTCCACATAACCTGTGGGGAAGAGATAGCCTCTGCAATATGGAGGTTGTTCTAACTACTAGTAATAAAGAGAGGGGAAACATGATGATGGAAGAAAAAAGGAAGCAAAAATTATCAACAATTGATGATTAAACTCAAGAAAGCACAAGAGAGCTGGAAGGAGATGAAGCTGCTGCTCAACATGTATAGCTCTGCCCCAAAGGAACAGGGAGACAAAGTGCAGTTAACGGCAGCTGAGAATACGTCTAAGGCAGAGTCGGAAGATCTCAGACAAAGACTCAAGGATCTGGAGGATAAGGAGAAGAAAGAGAACAAGAAAATGGCTGATGAGGATGCCCTGAGGAAGATCTGGGCTGTGGAGGAGCAGATCGAGTACCTGCAGAAGAAGCTGGCCATGGCCAAGCAGGAGGGAGAACATCTCCTAGCTGAGATGGATGTCACAGGCCAGGCCTTTGAAGACATGCAAGAGCAGAATATCTGCATAATGCAGCAGTTGCAGGAGAAGGATGATGCAAATTTCAAGCTCATGTCAGAGTGGATCAAGTCCAATCATATCCATAAATTTCTTAAAGAGGAAAAGGAGGAGTTAGCCAACCAGGTTTTGACTCTGAAGACTCAGGTGGATGCCCAGTTGCAAGTAGTGAGAAAACTGGAAGAGAAGGAGCACCTTCTTCAGAGTAACATCGGCACAGGAGAGAAGGAGCTGGGCCTCAGCTCCCAAGCCCTGGAGATAAATAAGCACAAGGCAATGGAGGCGGCCCAGCTTGCAGATGACCTCAAAGTGCAACTGGAGATGGCTCAGAAAAAGCTCCATGACTTTCAGGATGAGATCGTGGAGAACAGTGTCACCAAGGAAAAGGATTTGTTCAGTTTCAAATAAGCCCAGGAGGACATCTCTAGACTTCGAAGGAAGCTGGAGACCACCAAAAAGTCAGACAATGTGCCGAAGTGTGATGAGATTCTGATGGAAGAGATAAAGGACTACAAGACACGACTGACCTGTCCCTGCTGTAATATGCGAAAAAAGGATGCAGTGCTTAACCAAGTGTTTTCATGTATTATGCTTTGAGTGTGTGAAGACGCGCTATGACACTCGCCAGCAGAAGTGCCCCAAGTGTAATGCTGCTTTTGGTGCCAATAATTTCCATCACATCTACAATGGCTGATGCAAATCAAGAGAGACACGCTAGCTAGACAAGCACTTAATCATTAACCACCAGCCTCTGCCTCTTCTCTCCTTGGCTCTCTTATGGATCTTGCCCAGACTCTCCTCTGCAGTAGCTAGGCAGCTTTAGGGAAAAGGACCCTGCTATAAGGATCCCAATTTTGTTATACAATGAGCTCTATTTGTATTAAACTTTCTAAAACTTGACTCCAATGGCCTCCCACCAGCAATAAAGCATTGGGGAGCATTCACTCAGCCCACTCCTGCTCCTATGGTGAGATGGAAGGACCCTCTCACAAGTGAATGGAAAGGTCCACACCTTTTATTAACACAAGGGCGAGGGTATGCTTATGTCTTTCCAGATAATCTTCCAGCCCCCATCTGGATCCCACCCCAGAACTTCAGAATTGCCTTCAATGGAAAACCTCCAACCACAACCACCGACCCTGGAGATGGCAGACCCTAGAGGATGCAGCGCACCTATGTGTGCCATCATTACTGCTAACTCCTGATTTTTGGACCCTGCATTGTTAAGGATCTTGATAATTTTGTTAAAACTCATATTTATCTTGTTCAGTTAGCTGTTGCCCTGCCTCCAGATCTTGCCAGGCATGTCTCTGCAAACAAGGACCCAATGTTCCTTGCCCTTATCAACCTAGAGATATGAAAATTAGGCTTGAGCATAGGTGTAAATCTTACAGAACAACCATTCAACAGACCTGAGACAATGGCCCGACTGCCAGAGCCAGAGGAAATGCCTTGTGATATATACTCCTGTTGGCAGACTGTGAGACCGATGCCTAGAACTTGCCACCCCTTAATCCCCATCTTTACCCTAGATGGGATGACCCCATTCCATCAGCTTTTATTGAATTCTTAGCCCCTCAAGAAGACTTTGCACAGGCCAAATCTTGATACACTGCCTCTCCCTCTGCCAGACCATACCAAGGGACTCACCCTTTGAGGGCTGGTAGCCAATGACTGGTAAGATCTCAAGAGATGGGACAACCTAAGACAGGCACAGTCCATAATGCTGGGTGACCCTTGAGGTGGGGACAACAATGCTGAAGCAAAGAATCTCGACTCCCACTGGTTGGCATGGAGTTGGCACAGCCTGCTCTTAAGAAAGCTTGCCATTTTGAGGGATGGGGCTCTTGATTCAATGACCCCCTGAGCCATTGTACTTTGCTTAATATATCTGGACTAATATCAATATGCTATGTATTCTAAATTATACCTCACCTTTAAAAATTAAAAAAAAAAAGGGGTATGGAGATGTGGGAGACAGACTTGAGCCATACAGCCATACAGCAGGCCTGAGGCAACGGACCAACTGCTGGAGCCACAAGGAATGCCTTGTGACATTTTGCTCCCATTGGCAGATCATGAGACTAATGCTCGCCACTCCCTAATCACCACCCTTGGATACCTCACCTTTAAACTACTTACTGTACTGTGCACCACCCTTGGATACCCCACCTTTAAGCTACTTGCTGTGCTGTGATTAGACCACTACCCCTATATAAGCTTGTGCCTTCCTGCAATAAACCAGATCTGCGTGACTAAACCTGGTCTCCTGTGTCTGAATGCGGCTCCGCTGACACAGTCTCCTCACCAGCCCTGGGGTCTGGACTAGACGGCTGAACAGGGGAACTAAGAGAGCAGGAGAGTGGCCATAGCCAGAGGAGAGAAGTCACCTGAAGACCACAATTTAGAACTACTTTCTAACATTGATTTTCCTGGTCATAAGTTTGTGACTACAAACTCTAATATTTTAGTTCATTTTATGAACTGACTAAAAATAAAAATCACATACTTTGAACTCATTCTAAAAATATGCTGTTTGTATCTTAAACACATTTTTTTCTCTCCTGTTTATTTCATTTTCCTGTTTCATTTTGTCATAGTTTGTTTAAATCTTGATATCAATGAGTTTAGATTCAATTCCAATGACAGCTTTGTTTTGTTTTTTGAGTCCAGCTAGATTAACTTTTTACTAGTTTCATTCCAGCAGTTCAGATGTAACAGTGACATTTGGGACACAGATGGCTTTATATTCTTTTGCACAGCCCAGTATAAAAGTAAGAAGTCATGTACCTGTGAAATATAGTACCTTGTTGTTAGTTGCCTGTTATTTCAGGATTCTCCTGGAATGAAAGAGTTGAAAATAATTATTCAGTTTTCCATGATAAAACTCATTTTCCCAAGAAAAAAAATATGGCCCCTCCTAAACTGGAGAGCTGATTCTGACTGGTAACAGAGATGTTGAACATTTATGACTTTGATTAGGAGAACACCAGCAAACATCCTTGATAACCTCCTGTTTTTTAAGCTTTCCATCAAAAACTCTGAATATAATCACTCTGTGGCTATGTATTATTTATTTCAATATAGTTATAAAGAATCCCGGGTCACAGAGCTCCCTGAGTTTGCTACAACTGATATCATCCTGGAATCACTTTCACTATTTCTTGCATAATTGTGTATTATCAATATAAAAATTGTGCTTTCTATTGTCATTGTTTATATGGGCCTCAGTGAATGCAAATGAAAAGAAACCATGTAAACCTATTAGACACTGCAGACATCTCTCCACTTTTTTTTTTTTAATCATTTTTTTCATGCTACTGAGTTTAATGTTTACAAGGAATAAAAGTCAAAATTTGCTGCCTGGACCTCTAAACCAACACTGACTTGAGTAAGAGACAACTTTCTGTATGGCTTTTTTTTTCTCTTTAATCAGATATCAGGCTTGCCTTTGTCATCTCTCACTGCTGCACAATAAAGATGATTCAAATAAATTTATTGTTAAGTTATGAAGTTAACCTTCAGTCTTGATCATTTGAATAGGATTCTTCTAAACAAATCTCTGGCTGGTGCCTAGGAACTTGTCCTTGTAATTTGGTGTTATTTATGTCCCCATAAATAGTAGAAGGGGCAGGTTTTGTCAAACCAAAAATTTTTCCTGGCTATTACAGAGAATTAGTATCTTGCTGTAGTTTTAATTTTAATCCCTAGGTTTAATAATGTTTAATATTAGTATTGTTAAATCTAAACAAAGCAACATATTAATTGAACAGATATGGTGTCTATTTATGTATAGAAGGCTTATTCTCTAGATTTGCTTATTTAAACTGAATTCATAAGCCCTGAATCACTAGAAAAGACTATCAATTGTAATTTCCACTTTGTTAATAAAATAAATCCCTATTGGTACTACATAATTCAACATTCTCTAATACACAGAGTCCATGTCTCTGAGCAGAGGCTCCAGAGTTTGGCTGTGAGGAGTGGCTAATGATACACAAGAGGAAATGCCAAAACCTGCACCGATGGCAACCCTCATTACTTCTCTGAAGGAGCCTAGGGATAAGCAAATTTGAAAGTGATTTAAAGTGTTCAGCTGAGACTGACAGAAATGCATGTCTCAGAAGAATGTCTTTAAAATGAGAGTCATTCTAACTTCAAGCAGAGAAAAATGCTGTTGTAAAAATTTAGGTCCTGTGAACTCACTAATGTCAAATATTTACCCTCAAAATGAATTGGTCAAGCAAATTTATTAAGGAAAAGGATGATATCTTTGCAAACTAGTTTACTAGTATATAAAAATTTGGAAATTAAGAAAGGTTTTTCAAGATAGAATGGGTGATTTTAATGATAGTCACTGATTTTATATCTTCTCTAATAAATAGTCCTTGCCTAACTTTAATTCTTCTGGGTTTACATCCATCATCTTTAGATACAAATTCGTGAAGAGAAAACGATGCAATATAAAGAATTTTTCAATTTTCACAATTGAAGATAAGCAAGTTTTAAATCCAACATGTAG